GACGAGAGTTGCCCGTTGCAAGGGGAGGATGCCCGGGGTGCTGCTGCGTTGCGTGTCGGCAGCTCGTGCAGTTGCGCGGCTCCGGGATCGCTGCTGCCTCCCCTGCGCACCTGCGCAGCGCAGGGGCAGCGCGAGGGCAGATTTATGGGATAACACCAAAGGGCAGAGCTTCCCGTCTCCCCCGTGGGAAAAGCGGCACCTCGGCAGACAAATGGGAACGCTAATTTTGTGAATTGTTTCTTTCAAGGTTTAGTTTAATGGAGGGAGAGTAAGCTGCCCTGGCACGCGTTGTCAGCTGCTGTCCTGATCTCATAAATAATTTGTTTTCCAGTCAGTTTTACCATCTGCTTTCGTTTGGGGCTTTTGAGGACTTTCTTGCTGAGGATAATTTGTACAGTGTCAGCACTTAAATATGAGGAGAAATAGACAGGAATAATGAACCTTTAGTTGAGGTTAAAAAGAAAAAAGCCCCCTTTTTTCTCTGTCAGGGTCATTAAAAGAAATCTGCATGACATTAGGGCTCCACTGAGATTTTTGACTCATACAAATGAGAGGAAGATTTAGAAAGTTTGAGCTTGAACTGTCATTCAAGTTTATGAACATGGGCCATGAAAAAAGATTTGATGAAAGTTTCATGAAGATCTCACACTCTATTGCTTATTCAGTAAAAAAAACCCCTTGTGTTACCATTTTTTATGAGTTTTGTTTGTTAAAATGTATTTCATCCTTTCATACATTACGTGGAAGATCTAATAGCACAGCCCCCTTTTCTACCACTTAAATATTGCATTATGCGTTTATACATCTCTATTATATATAGGATCTAGTGTAGTAATTTTTAAAGGACGTTTAAAGACAATTATTTGTGTGAAACATTCAAGCAACAGGCTATGCTATATAACACTGCATATCACATCCTGCAGCACAGTCTACCCTCGATCACTGGCAAAGTTTTCGAAACAGCTTTCAAATAAACTGATGCCCCTCTTGGCTCTTTCTACTGTGAGAAAGAAACACAGGTTGGACTTTGCTCCACCATCCTTTTTTTTTTCATTTATTGCATGTAAAAATGGCTCACATATCCCTGCAGATGGTGGTACTTGGGCTGAATGCAGTGCAGGAGTGGGTTTCCCTGTGCGCCGCCTGCTTCACCGAGCGCATCTTCCCCTGGCCGCCGTGCGCTCTGGCTGCGGCCGCCTGCGTGCAGGGGAAGGAGGACRCCCCGCGCCCCCCTTCCAGCCTCACACACAGCAAGAATCTTTGTTGAGCGAATCGTGTTTACAGAAATCAGTGACTTTACTAAGATGTTACACAATATATGCCTTCAAATGATTTGTTGTCTCATATCTAGTGCAGGTATTTGCAAATATGAACATTTTCAAGCCATTTAGGACAGTGTTTCATTAACAAAGCGAGCAATTTAGTAGCTTCTCATCTTTTGAATTTATGTTGCAATTAGATGCTGGCTTATCTTCTTGAAGCTTTTTTTTTTTTTCCTTCTCCTGATTATTTGCTGCTGTGAGAAAGAGTAGCTCATTTCCAATGGAGAATAATCCCAGAAGTTAGACACTGAGGTGTTGTGCTAAGAAATCGTCCTTTTGTTTTGTTTAAAAGTAATATTTTGCTCCTWACATTTTTAGATGCACAAATTAGAGAATTTTATTTTTCTGCCTGGAAATACAGTGGAAAAATGCACCGGAATTTCGGGTCACAGTCCTTCTATGGGAGGCCCTTTCCTCACAGGAAATAAAAATCAGACAAATCAAAGACAAATCAGACAAATCCTAAGAAGAAAGCGTGAATCGCATTCTCATGTTGTAAATTCTTTGTTCTTTCCCTTTTCCTTTGGATGTAGACAACAGCATGAATAAGTGCAAGGGGAGAAGTAATTAAAAATTTTGTTACAGCTTCTTACATTTCTAAATGCTTTTTTTTTTTTTTTTTTTGGCACAGATCAGAGATACCTGGAGAGAGAGAAATGAGAATAAAAAGTTCCATCATTAATGTTACTGATGAATTTTCTTATTTGCAATGATAGTAAAGTAGATGCAGCTCTGCACAAAGTGTGTCCGCACGGGCTCTTTCCACACTGGGAATATCACTGTCACTATCACCAGGTATTGCTCTTTCTTACATCTCCATGCTCTTGCATCCTGTTGTAACTAAATATAAATAAGAAGCCCTTGACCCTGCCAGCCTCTCCGTCCATCTTCTACAAGCAACAAGCAGCGTAATTCAGCGTCCTGTCTCTCTTCTCCAAGGTGATCCTAAATGGCCCCCAATCTGGCTCTTAACGCCATTCTTACAAGACTGCAGCAACATTTACCTTGCTGAATCCTCTCCCTCCTCTTTGGCTTCCAATTCTCTCGCATTTTGTAACTGCATGCTCTCTGCTGGAACTGTGTTCTTGGCACTCCTGCCATTTCCCTCCCACTATTCCTCTGCCTCTTTGTCAATCCATTCTGTTCCATTCAGCTATGATCTCTGAATTCATTTTTTTTTCTTTCTCTAATTTCTAATCTGTCTCTCAGCACCTGGCCTTATATCTCAGCCTGTATCTTTAGGCATCTCTTCATCCATGCCTGCTGTTAAATACTAATTACAGCCTATTATGGCCAGAAATTTCCTTTCTCTTTACATATTAAAAAAACCTTCTCATCTGCGTTCCTGACATCTCCCTGACAGTCATGTCATCCCCTCCAACCAACATCAGAGCAGTGGATAACCACATCCCTCACCCTTTTGTCTCTGTGCCTTGTGTTTGATGAAGCCTCCTCAGCATCCAGGATTGATTAGGAGAGCTTCAGAAGAAAGGAAGAGTTGAACTGTGGTTGCACTGTATTGCCCTGCCATTCTGATGCATTGCCCATTTAATTTACACTTATCTGCGGCTATTCTGTCTACATCAGAAGATTTTCTTAATTGCTCTCTCAGGTATATACGGGACTACCATAGCAACTTCTCCTGAATGCAACAAACCTGTTTCTTCTGTAATTATTACCCTAATTAACTCTCAAATGTTAGCAATGCTCATTAGAGCTGTATTCCAGGCTGGAGAAGGTAGTCACTAAATTAAGATCTATTTAATTGGTCTTCCCTGCATGCTATTGTACTATATGTATAGTGTATGCTTAGAAATGCACAGACTTTAATATYCATTTATGAACATGCATCACGGTTCCTGTTCTTGGACATGACTAAATATTTTGGATAAGGAATTAGGCATTCTTTGGGAATTTAAGGGATCGAGGATATAAACCAAGACGTAGTGGATAAGCCCAAAGTGAATATTAAAGGAAATCTGACATTGCAGTTAAGCCAATATAGTTTTCAGCTGCTCTCAGAAGTGTTTTCTTTTTAYACTTTCCACTTCATCTGCAAATTCCCRTTTTTCATTTGCCCTAATGGTGAGCTTGTTGAGGGACATAAACTGGCAGAAAATTAATATTTTTTTGACAAGGATAATAATTTTCCACTGCTTTAGCTTCATGCTGGAGCTTGCTCTGAGGTCAGCCAAACCTCTGCCTCTGTGCCAGAGAGGCCAGGACCACTCAGCCAAGGGCAGGGAGCAACCAGGGAGATGCAAACAGGCTCTTTGAGTTAGCTCTGATGGACCTGCCTGTAACATCACACTGAACCCTTGGCCCACAGGAGTCAAATGAGCAAAAATACTTATTAGCCCCATCATCACCAGGGCATTGACAGAATTAACAACAACAACAACAACAAAACCAGCATTTAGACCAAAGAGGTCATGGCTGATGATAACTGTCCTAAGCCCTCACTGGAATATAAAGATTCTTTATTTCTTCAATTTACAAACTTGTGGTTTTCCTTTATTAGTATCTTATTTCCTTTTTGGAGTAGAAATGAAGAAGTGAGAAAAGTTAAGCCTGGTTTGTAGGAACATTTTATAAATACAATGTTATTTGCTTTTTTTTGTGGTGGAAGGCGACAAGGTAGAGGTACTTTTGTGCTATCATCTCAAAATTCCTGCATGGGTCCATATGGCTTAATGAGGAATGACAGATCCTGAATAATGGCTAATGAATTCAAGGCAGTAGTCATCTGCTAAAGTTCTCTGTCTGTGCAAAGTGACAGCATGGGTCTTATCCTTCATTTAAATCTCATGTTTTGACTAGTTAAAATGATCAGAGTTGCCTATTTTTCTAGAACTGGACTAGGAAATTAACACCAAGGGAATTGGAACTGCATAATAATAGTTTTTGTGTAGTTATTTAATTGAAAGATGTTGAAAGACAAATTACTTTCCAAACATCAATGTCACCTCCCAGAAAAACAACAGTTGTTTCCTTCTGACAAACAATACGATCCTCTCAGAGCTCTCTGGAGAGTCCAAAAGTTTGAGATCAAAAACCAGCCTCCTCCTTCAGTTAGTACATGTTCAAACAGGCAACTGCAGGTACACACAGGTTGTCTGTCAGCCAGGTGTCAAACTGATGGAAGTGGATGACAATGCCTACAGGGTATATAAGCAGCTGAGTGGTCTCCAGGTGGTTCTACCTTTGTTTCACCCTCCTTAGACTTGACACTTTCTCTAGATAAAAAAAAAATAAAATGACAATGAGCCCAGCAGAGCTGATAGTAAGTTCTGCCTTCATAAAAATCAAGCCAGGGATGATGTAGAGCTACTTTTATTGCCCTGCCTGTTCTAGCTAACGTTTTCCCTACGGTGATAAACTATACACTTTAAATCAGTGGTTTTACTGCTGTTTACTCTCTCCTCCCTTTAGGAGGAGACTCTAGACAAGTGATTTAGGACAATTATGCCTTATTTCATCCTCTTATTCTTTATTCTTAACTGCCATTTTAAGCCCTCTATGCAGCAAGTCACTCTCAAAGGTACAGAAAGCCACTGTGTAAGGACGACTTTTCTGGAATCATGACACATCTTTGGGAGCATTTAATTAAATCCTTAGGTTACAAAGAAGCTCAAACTCAAGTTCTGGCAGCAGAGATTCCAACAGCGAGTTCAAAAGAGAGCAYATCAGGCAACATTTAGTCTTCTTTGAACTACACTAAAGTATGAATGAGACCTGAAACTGAATCTTAAGGAAATTTCTCCAGGTCTGGGTATTCAAGATATCATAAAGGACATGGCCCACCTCAACACGCACCAGGGCAATACAAGTGGGGATAAAGTCAGGGTCATGCTGGTCATCATGAAGGTTGGTCTAAGACGGGCTACAGCAGCTGAAGACTAGATCTGCACGGTGACAAGGGGTGAAGGAGATACCGCGTGCTCAGATGGGCTGAGGTTCACTGCAGCACATGGGTGTTCAAGGCTTTGTCCCTCCTGGTGTTTGTACATTCTCTTATAAGCTCTAGGCGGTTTGTTCTATGTTGTCTTTCACAAGTGCTATCAAACTGGAGTACTGCTGGACATACATAGACTAAGGGATCTGGAAATTCCACAAACTGAGGTTTTCGCCACTGTCCAGAGCACATCTTCCCTTCTTACACCCTGAGGTAATGGGATGATCTTGAACTTGATGATCCTAAAGGTCTCTTCCAACCAGAGCAATTCCATTATCCAGACACAATGCCCTTTCAGATGGGACCATGTCAGTGAAAGATTTCCCACATGCCTGCAAATATTTCTTTTTAATGGCACTGTAAATGTGTCTTGTTTACAGGAGCATGGATCAAAAACAAGGCAGCTTGTGTCATTCTTTTAACAAGGACTCAGTCCTGAAATGGCAAACAGACAAGTGACAAGGGAAGCTGAAATCCTACATTTCATTCCTGAACTGCTGTCAGTCTTCCTGATTTCTGCTTCATGACTGCTAGTGTTTTTCAGGAAAAGCTGCTCTTAAAAAAAAAAAAAAACTGAGCTTTCTTAAAGAAAAAAAAAAGAAAAAATGTCATCAGACATTTGAAATGTGCTCTTCAGTTGACTTAAATGCTACAATGGAAACATTCTCACATGTCATTATTACAAAATGAAAAGAAAATGTCAAGGCTAAGTCACTGCCTATCATTTATTTGGCCCTGGGCTGCTTCTGAATGTAGAAGTGCCAGCAGTGGGATGTTGCAATAATCCTGTTGCAAGTTTGCAAAGATCCATTTATCACAATGGCTGTGACATACTAACCTTGTGTGTTCTTCTAAACTCCCTTAAAACTGTTTGAAAATTTAGCTAATGATGACCTTCGCTTAGAATTATGCACATTCACTTTTACGTTATTATTTCCCCACTTGGAGAAGTCACTTATTAAAAACACTTTGATAGGCATATAGAACTGGTAACATTGATAATCATTTTTAACTTTTAGATACTGCAACTATTTACATGGCATCCTTCATCTCTAATTTCCCAATCATCATCTAATTTCTTCCCTCTGATTCCACTATTAGATGATGCTTACAAGAACTTAATGTTTAATTTTAACAAGGACAGAGCCTCAGTTTTTTTTTTTCTTTGCCTTGCCATGGTTTAGGTTTATTTTGTTCCTTCATTATGTTACTTGTGTGTCATGTACTGCTCGTTAAAAGCATGGTTATGCAAATTTAAATAAAATAGCCCTTATTAAGCCCTCTATAGATGCCATTAAATTACCATCAGTTCCCAAGATCTCTGGGAAGTTACAGTAACACTGTATCTGCTTCAGTGTAAACCTGAAAAATATTGGTGGTGGCTTCGTTGCATTATTACAGAAAGACAGAAATAAGGTCATCACCATATGTGTGACAGTATTTTAGGTTAAACAACATTAACCCAAATTATCTTCCAACCACACAACTAGCAATTTCAAAAATGAAGCTACACTCGAGTTCAAATATGTTAAGTCAGGAAGTGACCAGTGAAGAAACAAATAACCTTGGCTGTCCTTGAGTGCCACCATGCACTGGGGGCTCCAGTTAAATTCGATTCAGGTGTTAATGCAGATGCATCACACTATYGCAGCTACACTTTTGCCCATTCTGGCAGTGTTACAGAGCAGAGATGAATTTGCTCTGCTGCTCAACAGGGTCACTTGTATCCTAGCTACACATCCAGTGGATTTTGCCATGGGTATGTTTTGCAGCCCGGGATCCTGGCACGCACTGAGCCTCAGCTCTGTCCTATGAGCCTCGTGCCAATGTTGTGAAGAGCAACAGTATCCAGGCACTGCTCTATCACTGTGCAAATCCAGCTCTTTTTGCTGACATTTAGATACCTCTGCTGGCTTTCTCCAAATATGCAACCTCCCTTGACACCATAATGGAAACCTGCTGGGAAATCTAGCGATCAGGTTCAGCAGATTTAATGGGAGGTTTGCTTAGAACAATGAAAGACAGCAACAACCCTTTTATTTCTTATGAAACCTTTATGAAATGGCACCTTCAGTAGCCTACCGACACTCCTCTTCCTGGATGAGTATGTGTGAATGTTGTTAACATTGACAACCATGCTGTTCAGTAAAGCAGACAGGAGAAATGCACTACCAAGAAATAATCTTGATCCTTCCTGTCAGCTCCCTTTTCAGAGGGTGAAAGCTTTATAAGATGATTTAGAAAGAAGTGTACATATCTACTTCACACTGAAATGCATCAATTTTACCACGAATTGTAATTCTGTTTTCTTTCTTTCTGCTAGAAGAAGGACAGTGGRTAGTATGGTAATAATGTGTCATGAGTCAACCAATACTTTATTCCATTCTGTGCTAGATGATTGTACTTGTCCTTTTCCTGCCTATTTCAGCCCAAAGACCAGGAATCTCACTGTGCTCAAATCTTTTTTTCTCCCCCCACAATATCTTAGGTTTTGAGGGAACAGCAATGGCAATATGAAGCCCATTATATATGTATGTATATACTACTGGTCTGTCTGCTGATTTAAGGTACATGCCTCCAGAACACTGGTATCTGCAGTTTGGTACATGTTCTCTCCTAAATAATAAGCATCTGCAGCCCCTTGAGCAGCTGRTGGCATAGCATGAAGTTAAATCTCCCTCGCATATGGAAGATATCTAGCAGTAAACATCTTCTGTAGCCAYGGCAAACTGTTTCACTTGAGAACCTGTAACCTTGGAGAGATCAAGGCCTGAAGGAAAAAGGCTCTCTGAAGTAAAATCTTACTTCGATTTATGGGAAAAATAGAAAATGAGTGGTTTCCTATGTAACGCTTTCATTGTGATGGAAGAAATCTACTCATGTTTCTGAGTTCTGCAGTGATATTCTCATAGACCCTTCATTAAAACACGTCTTTGAAATTCTTCTTCCCCTCCCCTCCAACAAAAGATAGCTTTGTAGCTCATGTATTTATACTCACTTAACTCACTAAGTACAAAACACTGTACACTGAGGAGGAAGTGAAAGGTCCTGAAAAATAAAAACACAAAAGCCCTCGGCCTTGGACAAAAAGTCTGATCATTTCATCCCAAGCTCTGAGTTGCGACATTTGCTTCCCTTTTGGAACGTCAGACAAGCCTAAAGCTCCAGCTCTTGCATTTTTAATGCATTCAGTTCATCGGGACCTTATTTAACTCAGAGACCTCCTTTCTCTGCGAGATGTTGATTTAACATGATAAGTGCACTCTACAGGAATGAGGGATCAGTCAACAAAACACATGAGCCTGCAGAAGYGGCGAACGTGGCCTTTCTGGCACCAGGCCACTGCTTGTGGAGCTCGCTCACACGAGAACTCCCAGTGGAGTGGGGCTCTCTGGGGACAGTGTCAATATAAGCTTTGCATTATAGCTTTATCGTCATTTAACAAATATTTTAAAAAACCCTGTATCCTCTTTCCTGACTGATAAACATACTAGGTCGAAAGCAATAAGATTCCAAAGCACGTGGAACTGCAACTTGAAAGGATGGTTTGCATGTCTGGAGGATACGAGGCTCTGTTTTGTTCATTTGAAGACGTAGACTGTAATATCTTATAACTGCAATAAGTGTAATGCATATAGAATGTTCAAGAACTAAATAAACTGGCTTAACTGTTGAATAAATAGACTTCTGGAGGCAACAAAAGCCATAAATGTAACGGTCATTACAGAATTACACCTAAATATTCCAGAACAGATGTCTGACTTACAAAGATATGATATTCGACCCCTAGTTATATATCTTGTTTGAATAGAGAACTGATGAAGGTATGTTAAAAAAAACTCTTAGATTACACTAAATTTGAATAAAGGCACAAATCTGGATTCAAGGTGCCAGTACATCCCAGAGTAGATGCATGTGTTTGGTTATGATTCCCCTGCTCCAGAATTTGTCCTTCTCCCCACAGAGAAATTATTGGTGTCCAGGGCTGTAGCCAGAGAGGGTCAGCTTCCCAGTGCARTTAATAGGACTTGACCATTTCCTCCCTATTTCCCCTATTTTTCTAAATACTCTGCCTTTATCACAGCTCTCTCAACTCCTTTTGGGAGTTCCCTCCAATATGAGTTCTCCTCCTTGACTAACTGAAACCTCTAAGTAACAGAAGATGCATGAAACGAGGAGACTATCTCGACAGATAGCAATAGTTGCTAGCACAGAGAGCTGAAAGCAAAATGTTGTTTATAGGGGCCCAAGCAAATCTTCCGTCCTGGTCAGCACAGCTCTGTGACTACAGGCAAGGCAGCACTGCAGAGCTGAAGAGGAACCGCTCACTTTCAGCGGTCACAGTTCCTGCCTGCTTGCCTTCACACTGCCTTCTCCATGAAACCCAAGTTTCCTGCCTGTCTCCTCTGCAAGCTGAGAAGCAGCTTGGATTTTTCGCTCTGCAAGTTTTTTTTTTTTTTTTTTTTTTTTTTAATGGAATAAGCAAAACTTCACCCAAGCAGATAAATCACAACTTGTGCCTGGACAGACTATGCAATTAATTCCAGACTTTATAGGAGTTGTCTAGAGCTGGCTTTCATTGGAGAGAACAATGAACACATAAAATAGATTTTAGTTTCATGCCATAACAATAAAATCTGGTTGTTTTTGGAATATCTGGAACTCAGAGAGGTGTTTCAGTAAAGGTGTTCTCTCTGGATACGCAACAACAGACTTCAGAAGGTTAAGCTGTATTTATCCAAAGAGAGAGGCTACCTCAATGCTGAACCCACGGACATTTTTCTCTGAGTCACCTTCTGTTTCTGGCAAATGGCTTTGCTAATTGGAATATTTTTTTTCAGTGGTTTTCCCTCTTCAAACTCTTGCTTTGAAAAGTTCACCGAACACTCCACATTTCTCTTACATTATAAATCCTTAATAATTTGCATGTTGACTCATGGGTTCTTTAAGAAATACATTGCTTTGACTCAGAATTGTCATTATTTTCCCTTTAGAGTACCAGATTTGTTCTGGGCTGCAATATTATGTGTGTGCTAGACCACTGACTTATAAGAGCAAGCAGGTCCTACTGTGCAGATACAATCACACTAAAAATGGCAATGAAATCTTAATGACTTACTGAGAAGATAAAAATACAGAAACCATGGCAACCTCCAAAATCCCAAACTGGTGCCCAGTTTTGCTAGTTTAGAGAAGTCTAACCTGCTGATTATGTGCAAAGGAACCTAAAGCAGATGTTGCTTAACAGTGAAGGAACTGACTCAAAACTAATTAGAAAATCCAGCCATTCTTMCCATCTTGCCAGCTGACACTAAGTGATTTCAAAGGCAGACTATTCTCAGTTCATATCGTTTGTAGTCCCAGGTTAGCCAAAACTACTCTTTTTTCTTATGACACTTCCAACAAGTTTTTACACCCTCTACTTTTTATCCATA